AACCTCCCAAAGTGCTGGGATTACAGGCATGAGCCACCGTGCCTGACCCAATGACTTTAAGACAACATCCACGTATAGAAGTCCCTGACTGAAAACTAGACAGAAGCCAGTCCTGCATTTCCCCTCTCCTAGGTTACGAGTGGCTTGTACATTAGGCTTTTGGGGTTTTTTTATGGGGGAGGGGGTTGAGACAGGGTCTTGCTCTCTCACCCAGGCTTCAGTGCAGTGGTGGGATCATAGCTTGCTGCAGCTTCAAATTCCTGGGCTGAAGTAATCCTCTAGCCTCAGGCTCCTCAGTGGCTAGGACTATAGGCATGTACCACCATGACTACTAATTTTTTTTCCCTTTTTGTAGGGATGGAGTCTCAAATTCTTGGCTCAAGCTGTCCTGCTGCCTCAGCCTCCCAAAGTGTTGAGATTACAAGCACGAGTCACTGTGCCCAGCCTGCATTAGGCTTTTGGATGCAAGTCTCATCTACCGGTGCACACCGCAGCTGCTCAAAGACAAGAGCAGGCTCCTCAGGGCCTCATGCAGGGAAGGCACACAATCTTCTTAATGCACACAGAGCATCTTCACGTCCATTTCCTCATTCAGCCCTTATAGTTACCACAGGGGAGCAAACTGAGTCTAGAGGGTATAGCTCAGGTCTGCCCATAGGAGGTACTGCAGTCACCTCAGCACTTCCCATGATCAGGCCTCGTGGCCAGTGGACCTGATGGAGAACCACAATTCTTGGCTGAGTTGGTTCAGCCACTGGAGTCGTGCCTCTGTTTCCCTGCCCCAAACTCTGCCATCCTGGCTGTGGCTCTATTCTTTTTTTTTTTTTTTTTTTTTGAGACTGAGTCTTGCCCTGTCGCCCCAGCTGAAGTGCAGTGGCGCTATCTCGGTTCATTGCAAGCTCTGCCTCCTAGGTTCACGCCATTCTCCTGCCTTAGCCTCCCAAGTAGCTGGGACTACAGGCGCCCGCCACCACGCCCAGCTAATTTTTTTTTGTACTTTTTAGTAGAGACAAAGTTTCACTGTGTTAGCCAGGATGGTCTCGATCTCCTGACCTCATGATCCGCCCACCTCAGCCTCCGAAAGGGCTGGGATTACAGGCGTGAGCCACCAAGCCTGACCATGTGGCTCTATTCTTGCCAATCTCCTTCCCAAACCCATCACCCCCAAAGGGCGTCCCTGACCTTCAGTGACTGGCAGGGGTCCTGTAAACATACAATTCACCACATATTCCCTTGGTCTCACCTTAATCTTTTTCTCAGCTCAGAGAGCTCTTTTCTGGAAAGGAATATTAGGCAGCTTTATTTTTTATTTTTTTTATTTTTTATTTTTTATTTTTTTTATTTTTGAGGCGGAGTCTTGCTCTGTCGCCCAGGCTGGAGTGCAGTGGCACTGTCTCGGCTCACTGCAAGCTCCGCCTCCTGGGTTCACACCATTCTCCTGCCTCAGCCTCCCGAGTAGCTGGGACTACAGGCGCCTGCCACCACGCCCGGCTAATTTTTTTGTATTTTTAGTAGAGATGGGGTTTCACCGTGTTAGCCAGGATGGTCTCGATCTCCTGACCTCGTGATCCACCCATCTCGGCCTCCCAAAGTGCTGGGATTACAGGCTTGAGCCACCGCGCCCGGCCTATTTTTATTTTTTTTGAGGCGGGTTCGCTCTGTCGCCCAGGCTGGAGTGCAGTGGCCGGATCTCAGCTCACTGCAAGCTCCGCCTCCCGGGTTCACGCCATTCTCCTGCCTCAGCCTCCCGGTAGCTGGGACTACAGGCGCCCGCCACCTCGCCCGGCTAGATTTTTGTATTTTCTAGTAGAGACGGGGGTTTCACTGGGTTAGCCAGGATGGTCCCGATCTCCTGACCTCGTGATCCGCCCGTCTCGGCCTCCCAAAGTGCTGGGATTACAGGCTTGGGCCACCGCGCCCGGCCCGGCCAGCTTTATTTTTAAAGTCCCTTGCCCTCTAAAGATGACATGCCTCCCAAAGTGCTGGGATTACAGGCTTGAGCCACCGCGCCCGGCCGGCAGCTTTATTTTTTAAAAGTCCCCTTGCCCTCTAAAGATGACATTCAAATTTTAGATTCAGCCAGGCGCGGCGGCTCATGTCTGTAATCCCAGCAGGTTGGGAGGCTGAGGTGGATCACTTGAGGCCAGGAGTTAAGAGACCAGCCTGGCCAACATGGTGAAACCCCGTCTTCACTAAAAATACAAAAAAATTAGCCAGGCGTGGTGGTGCATACCTGTAATCCCAGCTACTCGGGAGGTTGAGGCACGAGAATTGCTCAAACCCAGAAGGCGGAGGTTGCAGTGAGCCAAGATCACACCACTGCACTCCAGCCTGGGCGAAAGAGTCAGACCCTGTCTCAAAAAAAGAAAAAAAATATTTTGGATTCAAATTTCATATGAAAAAATGTTTTTCTATGAAAAAGTTGTATGTACCATAAAAGTACGATTTATAATAATAATAACTCTTTAATGTAATTTACTATGTGACAGGTATAGTTCTAAGTCTTCTATATGTTAGATATTTATTTAAGCCTTGCAGCAACCCTGAAAAGTAGTTATTACTATTGTCCCCATTTTTTTTTTTCTTTTGTGAGACGGAATCTTGCTCTGTTACCAGGCTGGAGTGCAGTGGCGCAATCTTGGCTCACTGCAACCTCCACCTCCCAGGTTCAAGTGATTCTCCTGCCTCAGTCTCCTGAGTAGCTGGGATTACAGGTGCGCACCACTATGCCCGGCTAATTTTTGTATTTTTTAATAGAGATGGGGTTTCACCATGTTGGTTAGGCTGGTCTCGAACTCCTGACCTTGTGATTTGCCCACTTCAGCCTCCCAAACTGCTGGGATTCCAGGCGTGAGCCACTGCGCCCGGCCTATTGTCCCCATTTTAAGATGAGGAAACTAAAGCACAGAAAAATTAATTGACTTGCCCAAGGTCAAGAAAACATAAAACAATGGGGACAAGGTTCAAATCCAGGGTGTCTGGTTTTAGGGTCTCTGTTCTTCACCAGGGGCTGTGCTCAAAAGAGCCCCAACACATTTAGAAAAGGGGCTCCTGGCCGGGCACGGTGGCTCACGTCTGTAATCCCAACACTTTGGGAGGCTGAGGTTGGCCAACTGCCTGAGCTCAGGAGTTTGAGACCAGCCTGGGTAACATGGCAAAAACCCATCTCTACTAAAAATACAAAAAATTAGCCAACCGTGGTGGCATGTGCCTGTAGTCCCAGCTGCTTGGGAGACTGAGGCAGGAGGAAAATCACTTGAACCCAGGAGGTGGAGGTTGCAGTAAGCCAAGATCACACCACTGCAGTCCAGCCTGGGCGACAAAGTGAGACTCTTTCCAAAAAAAAAAAGGTTTCTTAAAAAAATTCACTCTCTTATGCGCTAAAGGTTTGACAAAAGTCTCATTGTCAGAAATCTCCATTCAAATTTAGCCTTAGCCCTTTGCCAAAACATCTCTTAGTAAGTGCAATTTGCTAAAATTGGTTCAATACTATTTCTGTTCAAGTGTCAAGTGTGGAGATGACAAGAATTATTAACTGTTTCAGTGAGAAGTATACTTTGTGAGATTTAAAATAAATATGTTGGCCAGGCACAGTGGCTCACACCTATAATCCCAGCACTTTGGGAGGCTCAGGTGGGAGGATGGTTTGAAGCCAGGAGTTTGAGACTAGCCTAGGCAATATAGCAAGAAGCCATCACTACAAAAAAACTTAAAAATTAGCTGAGTGTGGTGGCACATGCCTGTAGTCCCAGCTACTCAGAGGCTAAGGTGGGAGGATCACTTGAGCCCAGAAGTTCAAGGGTACGGTAAGCTGTGATTGCACCACTACGCTCTAGCTTGGGTGACAGAGTGAGACGCTGTCTCCAAAAATAAAGAATCGGCCGGGCCCGGTGGCTCACGCCTGTAATCCCAACACTTTGGAAGGCCGAAGCGGGCGGATCACGAGGTCAGGAGATCGAGACCATCCTGGCTAACATGGTGAAACCCCGTCTCTACTAAAAATACAAAAAAACTAGCTGGGCGAGGTGGCGGGCGCCTGTAGTCCCAGCTACTCGGGAGGCTGAGGCAGGAGAATGGCGTGAACCCGGGAGGCGGAGCTTGCAGTGAGCCGAGATAGCACCACTGCACTGCAGCCTGGGCCACAGAGCAAGACTGCGTCTCAAAAAATAAATAAATAAATAAATAAATAAATTCAAATAAAAATAAAATACAGTATTTCAGATTTGTGAATTTTGGTATCCCTGGGGATCCTGGAACCAATCCCCTCAGATAACAAAGGATGACTGTATGTTATAATTACATGTGTGTCAAAACCATCTAAGGACCTGAATTCATAGTCATAGAGTGCCCTTCAGGGAAGTGGTGACATGAGGGTACAGTTTTTTGTTTTGTTTTTTTGAGATGGAGTTTCCCTTTGTTGCCAAGCTGGAATGCAGTGGCATGATCTCTGCCCACTGCAACCTCCGCCTCCCGGGTTCAAGTGACTCTCCTGCCTCAGCCTACTGAGTAGCTGGGATTATAGGCACACGCCCCCACACCTGGCTAATTTTTGTATTTCTAGTAGAGATGGGGTTTCACCATGTTGGCCAGGCTGGTCTTGAACTCCTGACCTCAGGTGATCCACCCATCTCAGCCTCCCAAAGTGCTGCGATTTCAGGTGTAAGCCACTGTGCTCTGCCCAGTGTACAGTTGAGTATGTGCGAGTGTGTATGGTATGTGTCCCTCACAATTCATTTAGGCCCAAAGGTGACACAGGACAAGGAAAATCCCATTTGGGGCTCTCAGGGTAGAAGTCAAGTCTCCCATGTCACACTGGGAGGCCCCGAGAGACTTCTCCACCCCATCGGGTCGCCAGGCACAGCAGTCTAAATTCTTCAGTGTCTTTCCCCAAAATCACCTCCCTAGCTCCTAGTCCAGGACCCTACTCAAAAGGGGATCTCAGATGGTATGGAAAAGAGGCCACCAGACAACAGGTAGAAGAAAAACACATACTCAACAAATTTAATTCTCTGCCCCAGTTTATTCATCTTGCGTTGGTCCAAAGGCCGGGTTTACACACTCAATATGCAAGAGCTACAGACAAAAAGTCTTCAGGGCCCACCCCTCACCCCCACTCCCTGGATCTTTCACTCATCCACCTGTCAGGGATGAAACTCTTTAGAGATAGACAGGAAGAGCCCCCCAGTTTGCCGATAGGAAAACTGAGGGCCAGAGGCTGCATCAGTGACTTCCATGCCAGTGTTCACCAACCAGTGTTCCCTCTTCATACCAATGCTCACCCACCAGGATCTTGCATTCTCTTGGCTCCCAGGAACAAGAGAGCTCAGCTACCTTAGTCGTTGGTTCTTTCCAAGGCTCACCCACTCTGTAACTCATGGAGCCTGCCAATCCCTGTTTGAAGGGCCATGCAGTGAAAGAAGGGGTTAAAATTCAGCATCCTAAGCATTTCCAGAGGCTTAGGCTGACACTGCCCCCTTCCCATCCCAGAAAGCCAACCTCTGGCTCCTCCTGACAGTCCGACTTCAGAGAAATGAACCAAACCAATTCGACATCCAATGCTTCTAAAGCCAGAGAGGCACAGCAAGGTAGAGGCAGAGACAGGGAAGTGATATTTTCCTCATCAGCTTTGGAACATCTTGTCTGTTCCTTGCAGGCTTATTAACATACATTGCTTTTCATCAGAAGCTTAAATCAACAGGGTTTGCAACAGCTCCTTTCCCAGTGGAGAGATGGTTTGTTTGGGAATTGGTATTTTAGAATTCCCATTCTCCTATTCTTCACAGGGTTCCACTATTGTCATCTCCCCTGTCCCCATCTCCCATGTGCCCAAAGGCAGAGTTCAAGAGGGACAGTCCCCTATGTCCTTCTCTGTCCCCACCCCCACCATCATCTCCATCACTACTCCTGGTTCCCCTTCCTGATACCAGTTCTCCACCCACTGCCAGACAAAATTGCAGCCAAAATGCCATGGCAGGCCAGAGCAGCCACTAAACCTCCTATAAGCAAAGCCAACATCATGGACGATAGCCTCAGCTGAGCAAGTCTGGGTTAAGTGAGGGAAAGGAAAGGAGAGGTGGCCTGGGAATCCCAGGAGAATGGGTCAGCCACAACCCTCAGATAAATGATAGCACACTAGCCCTTTGTCTCCAGGGAACAGTGGGACCCAGTGGAGAAGAAACGCTGCGGTAGGCCATGAGGAACACAAGGTGTGGGTGGATACCCCACAGTGCAGCTGGATATGTATTTGCACACACCTGCTCATGAGTCTGCCTGCAAACACACATGCTCCTAACATACACCTCCCATGCCTGCAGCCACACACGGGCACCCCTGCACACACAAGGGCTCCCTCACATACACCCAACACAAGCCTGCACACTCAAACTCACTCATAGACACACACATCTTCTGCATATACATCCTCACTCATGCGCATATACACACACTGCTGGGTACCTGTCTACACACGTACATACAGATTTCCTCAGTCTTCTTACATACTACACACACACATGTTCACTCTTACATGCTCACATATAGGTCTGCAGATAAATTAGCTTGTGTGTGCACATGTGCACACAGCACACTTAAGCTCATTTATACATGTTTATTCACACATTCCTATACACACCAGCCTACATGTTAGCACATACACACTCATGCCTACCTGCAATCATGCCAGCAAATAATTATGTACTTACTAGTGCACAACCTCACACATGCCTGCAAATATACACATACACCCTTGCACACTTGTGGAGACACACCCTTAGCCCTGGTCCTGGGGCCTGGATGGTGCTGCCCTCTGCTGGAGACAGCGAATGAGCTCTTTCCGGTTGTCTAGGATGGTGTCGAAGCTCTCCTGTAGTCGGGCCTGCTGGTCAATCAACTGATGCTGCAGGCCCCGGATCCACTGGAGCAGTGCCAGGCGACGGTACATCACCAAGTGCACGTGGTGCTTTTCTTTCTCCTGCTCTTTGTAGCGCTCCTGGGCTTGTAAGTGCTGCACAGCCTGGGCCACTGAGGGCAGAAGGGGATCAGGAGGGCCAAGGCCTCGCGGGGTCCCACAGGCAGGCTCAGGACTGCTGCTAGGGCTGTTGATACTCAGGGAACTGCTGGCATAGCCATTGTCCTCCAGAGGGGAGCAGACTGTGCCAGCACCACCCATCTTCTCAGGCTCAGCCCCGGGAATCTCTGCCCCCTCTGGGGGGCTGCGCACCCCTTCCTCAGGGGATCCAGGGGCCTGGAAGGCCTGGTTGTCAGAGGGCAACTCAGAGGAGCTCCTCCTCAGGATAGGTTCCACTCTGCCTGGCATCCCATGCCAATTCTCATTAGCATCCTTGGCACTTGCCATGAAGTTGGAGTTGTTGTCTGGTTGGAGCTCGGGCTGACATACTCCAGGAGGTGGGTCCCCCAGGAATTGGCCCCCCTCAGCTAGCCCTGGCTGGATGGCGAACATCTGGTCTGTAAAGGGAAAGCAGGAGACTGAGTCACAGTAGGACAAGGTGGGGTGCCTGAAGTCAGGGCAACTTAGCTGCAGGGACAAGGCTGAAAGCAAGAGCCCGACCACTCCCTGTCAAGCCCTTTGTCTTGACTCTGGTGACACTTCCCTTCACGGTTTTCGTCCTCCCTGTCTACCTGTTCATTCTCAGTCTCCTGCAGAGGGTTTTCCTCAGTCCTCAGAGCCAGGCTGTCTTCTGATTTTGCACATTTCTCTCCAGAGGACCTCATTCTCTGCTGTAGCTTCAAGGACCATCATATGCTGATGACTCTCGGATCTGTCTTCAGCCCAGGTCTAACTGCTATCCAACCCTGCAACCAATCATAGGCTCCTCAAATTCTACATAACCAGTCTGGGTGCGGTGGCTCATGCCTGTAATCACAGCACTTTGGGAGGCCGAGGAAGGCAGATCACCTGAGGTCAGAAGTTCGAGACTAGACTGGCCAACATGGTGAAACCCCATCTCTACTAAAAATACAAAAATTAGCCAGGCGTGGTGACAGGCACCTGTAATCTCAGCTATTTGGGAGGCTGAGGCAAGGGAAGTGCTTGAACCCAGGAGGCAGAGGTTGTAGTGAACTGAGATTGTGCCACCACACTCCAGCCTGGGTGACAGAGTGAGACTTCATCCCCCTCCACCCCCTGCCCCCCACCATCAAAATTCTACATAACCAAACAAGCTCTCCTTCAGTATCCTCAGCAAGATGGCTCCACCCTCCATCCAGAAGGCTAGGAGCATCCTGGGCTCCTCACTCTCCTTCCTTCTCCCATCTCATTGATAACCACAATCTGACCATTCTTCCTCTTCCAGGTCATTTCTGACCTGGATTATTGCCTCGGCCTTTTCACTGATCTCTCTGCCTCCAGTTACAAATGTAAATTTCACTTGTCACCACTCAGAATGCCCTCTCTGAACTCCTGCTAAACCTCTATGTGGCCTACAAGGCCCTGTTTGATCTGGCCTCTGCTCACCCTTCCATACCTGCCTTTTGCCACTCTGCCCCTCCCATCACAGCAAACTGCCCAGAGATCTCAAAACACACCATTGTTCTTCTTACCGTATTCCTTTGGCCTACAATATCCTTCCTCTCCCCTCCCCTCAAAGCTCCTCCCTTCTCCACCCAGCAAATTCCTTTTTGTACTTCAAAATCAGCTGTAATATCCCCATATCTCCATGTACCCATGTCTCTGAAGCTGTCTTGATACTGCCACAATCAATATTACATAAACAAGCACGGTTAGTTATGCCTTCCTCTGGGTCCCCACTGCCCTGGGTACACACTGTCTTATCCAACTTTGTGTCTGTCTCTGGCATACATGGTCGACGATCAGTGAATGTCTATTTAACTGGCAGTTTTGGTTTGTGGCAATGATCTTGTAATAGCAGTTTGTAATCTAGCTTGGACCTCCCCTATATATCCTCCATCATATTCCCCAGAGTCAGCCAGCATAGAGCCCAGAACCAGGCTGTCTGTGCATACAGGTACTTGCTAAGCGAGTGAATGGGAGAAGAGACTGCAGTGAATTTCCATGCTCAGGAGGCTACTCCTGACTCCCCAGGGCAGGAAGAGCTGGGTTCAGTTCCCTCTCCTACCCCAGCCAGGGAGCCCAGCCTTCCCCAGTGACAAGCTTTTCTTCTGAGCCTGCCCACTTCCCTCCCAATGCCTCTGGAACACAGCCACTATCTTGTGTGCCTGTCCCTAGCTTGCTCCATCCTGAGGCCCTGGAGGGCGGGCATACCACACCACTCTTCTCTCCTCCATAACCTGCTTCTAACCAAAATTAGGGTTTGAATTGACAAAGGGATTCTACTGACCAAACAGCACTGGGATTAGAACAATTTAAGAGCATGAAGAGGAAGGATATTGTAAGTGGAGCCGGCACTGGGAGGCGCTCCATAGGTGGCATGGACCCTCCCCATCCCCAGCAACGGGCAGAAGTCCTGGGAAGAAGGGTGTACGAACAGTTCCTTTGTAATCGCCCTCTAAGCAAGGCTTGTGGGAAGGTGCCTACAGATCTCCCCTCGCCCCAATTTTTAATTTTTCCTATATTTGGATGGGGCCATGAAGGAAGCTGGGATGGGGTGGGGGTGGTGCTAGGGATCACAGGGTTCTCAGAGATAGTAAAATAGGAACCCCGACACCCCAGGACTAGGTCTCCGCCCAAATAGGAGGCAGCCTCCTTTCCTGGCCTTGCGGGAGTGGGAAACCACCCCAAGAGACAGAGACCATCCTTCCCTAGTCTCCTCGAAGGAGGCCGCTGTGACTCCCCGCTTCCCGCGGCTGGGCCCCAAGCCCCCCGCCTCCGACTCACGGCCTAGAGGCGCCCGCTCCGGCGCGTCTGGCTCTGGCTCCGCCCGGCCCTGGTGGTGTCTGGTCCCCGAGCTGGGGGTTCCTCGGCCTGGGCGTCTCCGCGGTCCAAGCGTGGGTGCGGGGCTCCCGGGCAGCGCGCCCAGCCAGAGGCCCGGACTGCGGAGTCAGGCAGCGTCTGCGCGGCGGGGCGGGGCGGAGCGGCCGGGCCCACGTGGGCCGGTTCGGTTTTCCGCGGAGCCGCGCGCTAGGCTCTCCGCCGGAACCGCCTCGCCCCCGCGCGGGGCAGCGTTGACCCAGGTCTTTCAGGTCCGGTGCTCTCTCCTATTGGCGTTCGCTGGGCCCTTCCTATCAGTTCACCTCACTGCAGACACCGTGCCATTTTCAAGTGAAATCTGATTAGTCACCACCTTCCGGCTTTAAACTCCTCTATGACTTCCCCACAGCCGGGACAACCCCTAAGGCAGCAGCCGCGAGGCTCTGCAAGTCCTGCCCTCCGTCTGCCTCTCCGGCTTTGTCCTCTACTCTCCCTCTCCGCAGCTACCCTCCCGCACGCCCCTTTCCGCCACGCGGCTTTGGCACGCACGGTTCCCTCGTTCTAGCATTCTCTTTACCTTCTCGATTTACTCCTATTTCAGCTCTCTTCTCGGAGAAATCTCTGACTCCCTAGATCGCATTCGTTCCCGCTTGTATGTTAGGGCACATTCCTTTTCTTCATAGCATTTATCACAATTTGGAATTATATATTCCTTTTTGTGCTTACTTGACTAAAGTCACTGAGACCGGGCGCGGTGGCTCACGCCTGTAATCCCAGCACTTTGGAAGGCCGAGGCTGGTGGATCACCTGACGTCAGGAGTTCGAGACCAGCCTGGCCAACATGGTGAAACACCGTCTCTACTAAAAATACAAAAATTAGCTGGGCGTGGTGGCGGGCGCCTGCGTGGTGGCGGGCGCCTGTAATCCCAGGTACTCGGGAGGCTGAAGCAGGAGAATCGCTAGAGCCTGGGAGGTGGAGGTTGTAGTGAGCCAAGACTGTACCACTGCACTCCAACCTGGGCAACAGAGTGGGACTCTGTCTCAAAAAAAAAAAAAAAAAAAAAAAAAAAAGAGAGAGAGAGAGAAAGAAGAAGATCCGGCCTGGGACAGGTCCCAGGGTTGATGTCCTGTACCTGGGATGGGGGCTCTCCACAGGACACAGAGCCCATCCATGATGCCTGTGCAGTGGGCACCAGTGCTTTTGCCCAGGTGAGGAGGAACAAGGTTATAAAAAAGGGTCCTGGCTTCCAAACTCCAGTGAATTCTTCTCAGAGCTCCACTCTACTGAAGCTTGATCCCCCTCACTCTTTTGCACCCTAGGGAAATGTGAAGTTGGGGACCCTGTTTGGAATAAAAGAGAACAGAGTTCAGTAATTGCTGACCCTAATATATGAGGTACCCTCTTCCAGTTTCAACTTGATTCCAAGTCACCATTCTGCAACCTAGAGACTAATTGGCAAAATAAATCACACCAAGAAATCCTATATGCAAAAATGGAAAATGGAAAAGAAATTTTTATGATTATGATGTCTATTTTAAGAGGGAAAAGGAAATAAGAAGAAGGCAGAAGTAATTCAAACTTTGCACACTCCTCCAGCTAAGAAAATACAGGTGGAGATGTCAGCCTCATTTCTACATCAGATCCTGTAGCCTAAGTTCTCTCCCTTCCCTTATCCACCTCAGGTTCCCCTGGCCTTCAGCCTGGGGTGACCCAAATCCAAATCCTCACTGTTTTTGTTTTTTTGTTTTTGTTTTTTGTTTTTTTTTGAGATGTAGTCTCACTCTGTTGCCTAGGCTGGAGTGCAGTGGCACAATCTTGGTTCACCGCAACCTCTGCCTCTCAGGTTCAAGCGATTCCCTTGCCTCAGCCTCCCGAGTAGCTGGGATTACAGGTGTATGCATCACGTCAGCTAATTTTTGTATTTTTAGTAGAGATGGGGTTTCACCATGTTGGTCAGGTTGGTCTTGATCTCCTGACCTTGTGATCCACCCACCTCGGCCTCCCAAAGTGCTGGGATTACAGGCGTGAGCCACTATGCCCGGCCCAAATCCTCATTCTTAAAGGCTCTCAGCTTTGGTGATCTAGGGTTACGCAGTTCTCCCCAGACCACAGAGCCATAAAGTCATAAATTGTTTGTTCTGCCCAGAATAGCCTTTCTCTGCCTCTGTTTGGACTCTGTCTCTCCCAGCTTAACCATATGGGTCAAATAAAAGCCTGAAGAATCAAGGGATAGAAACTCCACTCCAGGTGAGCCAGTCGGAGTCCTTCTCTGGGATCTTCTGAAATGAAATTAAAGGAAGATGAGGCAGGGAAGAAACAGAGGTGAGAGACAGAAGTTCTGATAATGTTGCAGACCCTGTTTCCTGAATCTAAATTTATAGTTTTGTGTGCCTTATTTTGCCAAGCCTAACTTGAGTGGAAATCTTTCACTGACAATCAAAAGAATGCTGATTAATACAATAGCACAAGGTGGTGACCCCAGGGTCTCTGGATTCCACTCACCCACCTCTCAACCCTTATTAGGTAGCAGTAACTCCCTTTCTCCTTGAGAGCCATTATCAGTCCAGTCTACACTGTGACCACCCCCTTCTATTCCTCTAGTAATACCAGGAGCCTGAAATCCAAGAGAATCATCTTTGTGTTTCTAGGTTAGAAACGTTCCTCCCACGATGCTATCACCATCTTTTTTTTTTTTTTTTCCAAGACAGTTTCACTCTGTCACCCAGGCTGGAGTGCAGTGGCGCGATCTCAGCTCATTGCAACTTCCGCCTCCCAGGTTCAAGCCATTCTCCTGCCTCAGCCTCCCGAGTAGCTGGGATTACAGGCGCGTGCCATCACACCCAGCTAATTTTTGTATTTTTAGCACAGACAGGGTTTCACCATGTTGGTCAGGCTGATCTCGAACTCCTGACCTCAAATGATCCGCCCGCCTCGACCTCCCAAAGTGCTGGGATTACAGGCATGAACCACCATGCCCAGCTGATGCTATCACCTTCTGACCTGCAATACCCAGAATCTCAGAGACAGGAAGAAAACTCTTAGTCCTTTGGTACAATCATATAAGGTGCCACAACCACCTCTACCTCTTCTTCCTATGCATTCTGGCTGCAAAGGACAAAACATTATATACATTGATTTAAAGCCTATATTGGGCCTGGTGTGGTGGCTCACAGCTGTAATCCCAGCACTTTGGGAGGCCGAGGCGGGCGGATCACTTGAGGCTGGGAATTCGAGACCAGCCTGGCCAACATGATGAAACCCCGTTTCTACAAAAAATATAAAAATTAGCCAGGCATGGTGGTGTGCATCTGTAATCCCAGCTATTCAGGAGGCTGAAGCAGGAGAATCGCTTGAACCCAAGAGGCGGAGGTTACAGTGAGCCAAGATCGTGCCATTGCACTCCAGCCTAGGTGATAGAGTGAGACCCTGTCTCAAAAAACTAAAACTAAAAATAAAATAAATAAAGCCTATATCGTGCTCTGCAGGGCAGCACCCTGACCTGGAATAGCTGAGTCATCAATTCCATTGTTCTAAAAAGCTAGTTATTCTTCTTGTTTTTTTGAGATGGAGTCTCTCTCTGTCACCCAGGCTGGAGTGCAGTGGCATAGTCTCAGCTCACTGCAACCTCCGCCTCCTGGGTTCAAGCAATTCTCCTGCCTCAGCCTCCTGAGTAGCTGGGATTACAGGTACCCGCCACCTGGTGAATGTTTGTATTTTTAGTAGAGACAGGGTTTCACTATGTTGGCCAGGCTGGTCTCAAACTCCTGACGTCAGGTGATCTGCCCGCCTTAGCCTCCCAAAGTGCTGGAATTACAGGCGTGAGCCACCACACCTGGTCTAAAGCTAGTTATTCCTAAATAATATAAACCTGCTAAGTCAAGTGAATTCATTTGAAGGGAATCAGATTATAGCCTTTCTTTTCCTTCCTTCCTTCCTTCCTTCCTTCCTTCCTTCCTTCCTTCCTTCCTTCCTTCCTTCCTTCCTTCCTTCCTTCCTTCCTTTCCTTTCCTTTCTTTCTCTCTTTCCGTCTCTCTTTCTCTCTCTCTTTCTTTCTTTCTTTTTTTTCTGAGACAGAGTCTTACTCTGTTGCCCAGGCTGGAGTACAGTGGTGCAATCTTCATTCACTGCAATGTCCGCCTCCCAGGATCAAAGGATTCTCATGCTTCAGCCTCCTGAGTAGCTGAGATTACAGGCATGTGCCACTGCACCCGGCTAATTTTTGTGTTTTTAATAGAGATGGGGTTTCACTATGTTGCCCAGGCTGGTCTCAAATTCCTGGCCTCAAGTGATCTGCCCACCTCGGCCTCCCAAAGCGTTGGGATTACAGGTGTGAGCCACCGCACCCAGCCTGTAGCCTGTTTTGTTAATCAAGGGCAGTGTTGTAAGGAATACTCTAGCACTGTATAATTAATACAGCCAGTGCTCACACAGCAGTCCTGGTCACTCCATAATTTTCAGAGCTCAAAGCCTGAAGAATAAAAAGCTCCAGGAAGGCAGGGATGTCCATGTCCACAGGAAGACAAAAAAGCAGCTGTAGAGATGCCTGTTATTCATTCACCAGAGGCTTTTCCAGTGAGGACACCAGAGAATTATTCACCCCCAAGTGAAAGGGTGTCTGTGGCTGTGTTCACCTACCCACATATATGCCAGGGACTTAAGTGGCAGGGACACAGAAATCTCCAGAGATGGCCAGTATCAGCCTGAACAGGGCTTTGCAAAAGGCCATGCCATCAAGACCCAGTGATGGACAGTGGGTAAGCCTCTTGGCAAACAGACAGATGTCAGAGCCAAGAGAGGCTAGCAGTGAGTAGCCAGATCCTGGTCCCAGGGCCTGAGGTGTCAGGCAAGGAGGCCAGAGAAGATGAGAGGAATTTCTCATCCAGGAAATAGGACAGGCATAAGGGTTATTCATAGGTAGATAATTTCTCAATGTCAGTATTCTCAGGAAGAAAGGGGTGGGTAGGATCAAGGTGTTTCAGCTTCAAAGACCTTGTCCCTTCCCACCCCTTCATTTACACATACAGTTACAGAGTGCTTATTTTGTGCCAGGTACTGTGTTGGGAATTCAGAGCAGAATCAGAACTGGTTGTGGTCTTGGGGAGCTCTTTGTTTAGAAAGGGAAACAGAAGCCTGGTGTGGTGGCTCACACCTGTAATTCCAGCACTTTGGGAGGCCGAAGCGGACAGATCACTTGAGGCTAGGAGTTTGAGACCAGCCTGATCAACATAGTTAAACCACGTCTCTACTAAAAATACAAAAATTAGCCGGGCATGGTGGCACACGCCTGTAATCCTAGGCACTTGGAAGGCTGGGGCACGAGAATTGCTTGAACCTGGGAGGCAGAGGTTGCAGTGAGCCAAGATCACACCACTGCACTCCAGCCTGGGAGACAGAGCCAGACCCTGTCTCCAAAAAAAAAAAAAGGAATAGACAGAAGAATGGGCTATAACAATGTAATGGGCCCTGCAACAGAGCCAGGAGGCAAAAGTAGTCAGCCCAAAAAAGGGTAA